TTCTCATTGATGTTGTTGGCAGCAGAGCTGCTCACAGCTTGGTATGCTATGCTAGCACCAGCATGAGAATCTAAGGAATGCCATGCTGTGCCAGCCAGTCCATCTGAGACTCTGGCAGAGAGAGGCCCTGAGGGGAACTTTGTGGGAAGGCAGAGTTCTTCTTTAGAAATTAAAATTATAAGGTAAGGATGTACCCAAACACCCACAAAACTTCCCTAATCTGAGTCTATTGTGAAGAAAGGATTTAAAACAACTTCAACCAATTTACATTTTCAGTCTTCACTTCTTCTTGGAATATTAATTTTTTTTAGTTGACTTTCTATGGAAAGTAGAAGAATTCCTCTTTTTTATTAACTTAATTTTTCTAGTTTCAATCTTCAAAGAAGCTCCGAGTTCTAATAGGCAAGATTTGATGAATAAGACCAATTCAAACTATTATTACTTGATTTTATAAACTTTTGGTCATGCCTCTATGTGCTTCTCCAACAGGCAATCAGCCAGTTGGTTACTAATTTTTAGAAAAATGGTAAAAAGGAAAATAACTTGCATTCTGTTTCTGGAAATAAAGCCATAGTGTCTTACATCATGAGAATTTTCCAAGTTTTATGCAGATAATTCAACCTTGGATATTTTATGTTTTTATGATTAACACCTTTTCTAAGGTTATCCACAAAAATTTCCTTGCTTCTTAAACTAAATTCAACCAAAACAATAAGTAAGCTAAATACTTAAAACATACTCTAGCTAGGCTGATTCACTAGATAATTTCCAAATGCTTCATCTTATTATTCTTTTAGAATTCAGAAATAATTGAGTAGCATAATCTGTGTCAGATGTGTGCTATTCATTTTTAAATATATTTGATCACCCAAAGCCTAATGGTTAAGTACAGATATTGGTTCAGAAGCTCTATGAGAAAAAGATAAGAATTCAGAAAGACTTAATGAAATGCATATGCCTCTCACCTTGATATGGAAGTCTGAAAAATATAGCTAAACTTTATCAGTCTTATTCTTCAACATGAAGGTTTTAATGACTGAGCCAAAATAAAACCCATGGCAGATAAGGCATTCATTGATTCAACAAATATTTACAGAGCACCTATGGTATGCAAGGATTGGTGTTAAGTACTATGAGCACCCAGGCCATGACTTGGCTCTTCCAGAGAAATTTGATTGGCTTTCCAGTTACATCAAAATGATATCTTCTGGCTGCCTTGTTTTAGAACAAGCAACCATTCTATGTAAAAAGTGAAGTCAAATATCCTTGTTAAGTGTTTTCATACATAAATATAATATTTAAAATATAATTTATGTCTAATGTTTAGATGGTATAAATTCTGCAATTTATGTTTAGGGAAATGAAAAGGACTGGCAGTTTTGCTACTAACTCCTTTTCAAGCCAGCGTAAGAAAAAGCAAGTCATATATTCCCAAAGTATATGCTGAAAAGGATTAAAATTAAGGACATCTGGAAAGATTTTTCATTTGTATATGGCATTACATTATAATTTAGGCCTGCCCTCTACCACATTATCCTCACCCTAGGCACTGAAATGTTTTCTTTCTTCTGGTGTAGTGGTTCTTACAGTGTGGTCCCTGGACCAGGAAGTATCAACAGCACCTGGGAACTTGTTAGAAATGCAAAGTATCGGGTCCCTTCTCCTAAGTCAGAAACTCTGGGGATGGGGCCCATGGATATAAGGTTACACATTAAACTATGTTTTCTAATTTCTAGTTAATAAATGTGTATTTGGGATCAAGTAATAAATGGTATACATTATTTAACCTTTGTCAATGGCACTGATGCATCATGTACCATGGTTTAAAATATATATTTACATGACATTACATATTATGTATGTTGGACACAGTTGTGTTTTCACAAGCTTTCTGGGCAATTCTGATGCAGGCTCGAGTCTGAGAGTCATTACTCTAACTCATTATCCATTAGTCATGTCCTAAAGAGAAACCTGATATAATCCACAGCAATAAATAGCAATATTGAACGCATCTTTAAAGAACAAGAGGCAAATAAAGATCTAAGAATTCTTGGCAGCACAGATCTTTTTTCCAAGAAATTAAGTGCATCAACTAGAGTAGCAAATTCTGCATAAAAACACTTGGGTTTAAGTTTCTGCTCTTTAACCTCCTGCCTGTTGCTTCTTAGGAAATCATTTAATCTCTACAAGAATTTGTTTCTTCATCTATACAAGGAGGGCTTTGCCTTGGACTTCTTTATGGCGCCTTCCAGCTTTTAAGTTATGTGATTCCTAAGCATCTTATTCAATATCTATATTATTAACATTTTGGAGATACCAATTTTACCATTTTGTCCATTTCATGCTGTTACTCAAAAGCATATCAAAACTCTTACAACTCAATAATAAGAATACAACCCAATTAAAAAGTGAATAGACATTTCCCTAAAGAAGATATACAAATGGCCAATAAGCACATGAAAAGATGTTCAACATAATCAGCCATCAGGAAAATGCAACTCAAAATCACAATGAGATATCGCCTTACACGCACATTAGAATGCCTGTAATAAAAATGACTGATGATAGCAAGTGTTGGCTCGGAAGAAGAGAAATTGGAACATTGATACACTGCTGGTGGGAATGTAAAACGATGCAGCTGCTTTGGAAAATAGTTTAGCAGCTCCTCAAAAAGTTAAACTTAGATTTCCCAGTTGACCCAGCAATTCTACTCCTAGGTATATATGCCAAGAGAATTAAAAACATATGTCTATGCAAAAAGTTGTACACAAATGTTCATAGCAGCATTATTCTCAAAAGCCAAAAAGTAGAAACAATCCAAGCATCCATCAATGACAACTGGATAAATAAAATGTGGTATATCCATACAATAAAATATTCTCCCCATATAAAAAGAAATAAAGTAAACAACCTGTCAAAATATGGGTGAACATAAAAATGTTAATTGAAAGAAAACAGTCATAAAAGACTACATATTACATGATTTAGTCAATGTGAAGTTTCCAGAATAGGCAAATACATAAAAATCGATAAACACAAAAAGTAGATTCATGGCCATCTAGGGCTGTAAAGGCCAAGGGAAAATGGGCGGGAGGGACTGTTAAAGGATGGAAGGTTTCTTTTGGGATGTTGAAAATATTCTGAAATTTATTGTAGTGATGGTTGCACAACTCTGTGAATATACTACAAACCACTGAATGTACACTTTTAAATGGGCAAGCTGCATAGTATGTGAATTATATCTCAATATATCTGTTACCAAAAAAAATAAAAGCATGTCAGAACTTTCTCCCCTGCTCCATTTCTTCTCTAGTCATTCAAATGACCATCAGTGAATACTATACTAATGCCTCCATGACTATGACAGTCTGGAATGAAGTGCCATTCTACTGTACCTCATTTTTTATTTCAATACTCACAATGTATTGGATGCGGTGTAGATTGGCCAACACATAATTCTATGTTACTTTTCTTCAAACCAGACTCCTAAAAAAGGCATTTCTAGAGATAAATGCTAGAAGCTGGCTTTATTATTATTATTATTATTATTATTATTATTATTTATTATACTGGAAATGACCACTGCAAATTAATGGCATGCTTTGAATTGGGCATAAACAGGACATCCACAGATTGAGAAAACATTTCTCAATTCTTTCTTTAATCCTGAATTCATTCAGTGTGCATTCATCATTTAAGTGAACATGAAGGGTTTGCAAAGAAAAACTGTATGTCATCTGAAGCTCACTGGCTTTTTAAGTTTTACATACATACACACAGACACACACACACAAATGGTGCTTTGAGAATCTTTGCAAAGTTTTTCACATGAAAATAAATAACAATCTAGGAAGCAAAATCTTAAAAGACTACAATGATGGGGTCAATCACAATCATAAACTGGTCCGTCAAAAACATGCTGAATGTCTGTGCAATTATCCACAGCTGTTTTATTTGCTCAGGCTTCAGGTGGACCAAAAGATATTCACTGTGAAAGTCTCCATGACTAATTTTCTTTAATCAAATAAGGAATGTAAATTTCCTTTCCTAATAGCACAGGCACAGAGGACATGATTTTCATTATAGAATGGACTGTGGATAGATGAGGGTATTTTAGAAATCTGGGCCAAATGGTATTTTGAGATGTTAAGAGCTAGCAAGAATTTGTGTTCTATTTAACTGCCTGTTATAGTAAAATAAAATCTTTAAGATGTGAGTCCATAAATAGTTGTTGATTACTGCTAGTTAATTGTAGTCTACCACATCAGACTAAACAAAAATTGTATCTTTAGAGACTGCTCTTTGTGTAATTGTTAACATTTGAGGGAGGGAAGGGGAGCTTTAAGAAGCTGAAATTTATAAAAACTCTATGTTCATGAAAATGTAAGCTAAACACAAGAAAGCATGAAGTTCTAGAACAGGCAAAACTAACATACAGCAACAGAAACCAGAACAATGGTTGTTTCTGAAGGATGTATGGACTAGAGGGGGCACATGGGATCTTTCTGGGTGTTGGAAATGTTCTATATCTTGATAGAAGTATAGGTTACACAGGTGTATGCATTTGTCAAAATTGAATGAACTGTGTACCTAAGTTCTGTGATTCACTTTACATAAATTACATCACAGTAAAATACATTTTTAGAAAACAGAGATGTATTGGGGATCTGTAAGTATTAGTAAGAGTAAGATAATTTGGACTTTCTTACTATATATTTAGGAAAGTATTAGTAAAAGCACTGGAAGAGATGGAAAGTGTTGCTTCTTTAAATCAAAGGCATTATACTTGAATGTATATTTGTAGACACAGAAAGGATAACACCTCTAGTAGAAATATGACTGTATTTTTATACAGTTATTTAGCATTTACCTACATGTTTATTTGATTTCATGGCATCTTCATGAAGGAGGCAGTATTCCCCCCCCCCCCCCCTCCTAACAATCTTATCTGGTAGACACTATCACCCCCCCCAATGTACAGATGAGAAAACTGAGGTTCCGAGAAGTTAAGGGTTCTAACCAAGGTTACAGAATCCATTTGTGGCAGAGGTAGGACCAGAGCAATGATGAGGTCTCCAAAGAGATCTGTGAGTTACCTCACAGCAGAAAGACTTCAGGGTATGAATCATCTTCATTTTATATCCAAATCATTATAGGACTTAAATGAGATCTTCCAGGGAGCCATGCTTCATAAATCCAGACTCTAAATTAGTATTCCATAGGCAATCCTAATTCAGGGTCGTTCTTGCTAAAAGTCCATAGGTGAGGACTCTCCGTCTAGTCAATATCATCAGTTTATTTACCAAGAGGCCAATTATCAGCATGTTTATAAGGAGATTATATTGGATCACTTGCTTTCTCTGTCTTCCAGGGTGTCCTCCTGGTAACAAGAAAGAATTAGATGATAGGATGGCTTCTTAATTTCTTTCTTCCCAGGATTGAAATCTAAGTGACACAACCATAGGCCACAGTTGAACCCTGCCACATCGTAGATCTTGGAATCTCTAACCATTAGGAGGCTTTTCATAAGGGCACCAAGGGCACAGAGCTGGTAGGACACCTCAGTAGAGCCATCCCAAGGTTTGGATAATTGGGCCATAATGCTGGTAGGGAGTGAAGGGGAACTAGTACTACATAAATAAAGGGTCCATTTATTGAAGGCTTCCTACCACAAGCTTACTAGTATAAGGTGGAGCTGTGGCTCACAGAGCTTAACTAACTTGCCCAAGGTCACAGAACCAATGAGTGGCAACAATTAAATGCAAAATAGTTTGAGGCCCAATTTTAACTTCAAACT